GGGGCTGATGTGGCGGGGCCTGGATGGTGACAACGGGGGCGGGGGGGCTTTTTCTGAGGTGGGGGGGATGGAGGGAGCGGGAAGGGGCTGGAGAGTTTGCGCAGCCCCAGGAAACAGCAAAACAGCAACCCCCACCACCCAAAACCATCACCAGCAGCCATGGCCCACAGTGTTTTATTTTTATTTTTTTCCAGAAAAGAAAAAAAAATCACATTTTACATAGCTGGTACAAAAAAATAAAAACACACACAAAAAAAATGGAGAGAGGGGGGAATCCCCGCAGCACAGGGGGTATCGGCGCTGGCTGCAGGGCGCCCGCAGGAAACCTGCGCTTGGCCAAGGGCTGCCCCCTCCCCAACACCTCGTCAAAACGCACGCATTCCACACAAACAAGCTTTGGTTGCTAGCAGTAAACATGGGAGTTACATTCTTACGTCTCCTCGTAGACAAATCTCGCGGCTTGGGGCTTTATTTCTCTTTTTTTTTTTTGCACCAGGGGAGGAAACATCTCGCGAGGGCCGCTTGGTCCTCATACATTCACACGCTCCCCGCATGGCCCCGTAATGCACCGTGCCCGGCGCCCGCGGCCCTCGCACGGGCAGGCAAGGGGAGGATGCAGCAGTTTATTAATTATTGTCAAGACGTGGGGAAGAGCCACAAGGCAAGTCAAGAAACACCCTCCTCTGCCGTGTGGCTTCCCTTTACCTACAAAAATCCCCTGTTTGTTTTTTTTTAATTTATTTTTCCTGAATCCTGGTCCCTTATTGGCCCTGAGAAAAAAATGAGTGATTCACTAAGCCGTTTTCCTTTTGCTTTTGCCTGGGGCAGGGATGGTTACAGAAGTCATCCCCCTAGGACAGGCAGAGCTGCAAGGCAGAGTACGCAGAGAAGATCCTGTCTCTCTGGTCCAAAACCTTTTAGATGTTTTTTTTTTTCTTTTTTTCCCTTTTTATCTTACTTTTGTAAACAATAATCAAGGAGAATACTGAGAGAAAGCGGAGAGATTTACAGAGGTATTTACATAGACTAGACACCTAGTGGAAAGTCACCAAAAAAATCAAACCGAAGGGGAAGGGCAAAGGTTCTACATGATTCTTCAAGACAGAAACAAGAATTGGGGGGGCAGCAGTTTACCCGGCACAACCGAGGGGGCCCGGGAAGGCCAGCGGTGCCCCCGCAACCCGGTGTGCTCTATTGCATTTACCCCGTTGAGATAAAAGCGGCGATCCTGAAGCAGGGTCGTCCAGCTCCCCGAGAACTCAGAGACTTTCCCCCACCCTCCCCAAAAAACAGACACCACCACCTCACCATAAAAACTACCGGAGCAGAGCAGGGAAGAGCCGGGGGAGCCGGAGTCCCCTTGGCACTGATGGAGCAGATGCTCCCCATCCCTGTGCCCATCTGCATCTAAACTTATCACTACCTAAAAATCAGCAG